CAGAACAGGTGCTTTCTCTCCTCAATATTTTCTTAAACTGAATCTCTTTCATATCATTTCCTTATTGATTTGCTGCTAAAAGCCAGAACTGTGCTCATATTCCTTTTAACCTTCAGGTCGTCCTGAAAGCTTGCCTTAATTGGGTTGCTCACGATCCGGACAACCGATTGCATTACCTTGTTACGCTTTTACACCACGTCCGACTACATCAAATTCCCACACAAAGGCTGAAAGAGATCATAGACACATCTAGTGTTCTCCGGGTACGTTGTTTTTTTATTTTGCCTTGGTTATTCTCTGCTGAATTCATCCGGCCATCAGAGACAGTAGAAGTACGTGCGACAGGCTCTGCGTCGAACTGGGGCACGTGCCCCTGCTAGACACAAACTTTCCTTTTTGCCTCAGTCTATCTATTCTAACTTGCCATTTTTCATCGGAACCCTTGATGTGTTAAGTGGACACGCGAGTACCACACTTTTGCACCGAATACTCGCAGAATACTCACTTCCTTGACGCTTGCCTAGGGAGAATTCGACCCTTTTTTCTGATTCAGCCACCGATATCTTTCCAGCTAATTGACACTTACTTGTTACCCATCCATGATGGAAGGTGGAACTTCTTCTAGCGAACACGAGTTCCTAAATAATCAACCTTTAGTGTTTGCTGGCTAATCAGTTACGAACCATGAGGCGATAATGCCTTCAATTTCCCCTGGACACTGAACTGGCATTTCGGTTACCTATTGAACGGACCACAACCCAAATCGGATTTTTCCGTCTATCCAACAGGGCTTCACTCGCTGCTGTCTAGCACAATCTGGGAACCTAGATTTCGCAGGCCAGACACTTGAATGAAGAAGTCAGCCTTTGAATCCAGTAGTTACGGGAGATTCCCCCTCTAGCCACTCGGCTAGTATCCGGTGGGCCACGGCTAGACCAAAGTCTTTTTCCGACTAGGGTCCTCTAGGTTAAGATTGCACTTATTGAGGCGTAGAGAAGGACACTTTCCTACCCAAACATGGCCGCCGTCGCTTCATTACTGGCTCTGCCTTGTTCATCCTCACAGTCGGGGTAGTCAACGGCAGTCACAACGAAATACTTGATTTTTGTATTACTGAGTTTTAAGCTGTCGCCTACGAAGTTACGAATCTAATCCTAAACTTAACCCTCGATACGCGTGACCTCATGCCCTTGCGCCGTTATCGACTTTTCATCTGTAATTTATTTTAACGTATGAGACCTTCGCAAGGGCAGTTGCTTGTCGCCAGTCTGGCAGTAAACTTCGTGTTTGTCTTATTCCTAGTTAGACCCAAACTGAAGCACACCAATTTGCTCCGCACTAATCAGGCTATGGTTGTTGCTTTGAACGCCATATGCCGGCAGCCTGGGCACCTGCGTCATACCAACCTCGTTAAATGCCTATTATTTCTGAGTGTTATACTGAATCCCGACTGTTACTCCTC